ATCACTTTAACATAAAGCAGTCACTGTGCAAAATAAGATTATTTGGCTGTAAGATACTTTATGACAGCTTGTGAAATACTGAAACCAAAGTGAAACAAAAGATAATCCTTCTTTTAAGATATACCCAGACTTTAAAACTAATTTTATTATTGACTTGGGTTGCAGAAATGCCCTCATTTCTGTGGTTCTGGAAAAAAAATATTCTTCCTGTATTCAAAAGAATAAATTCCTTTTTGGAATTTAAAACCTCTGATCCCATACCCGGCCAATTAAAGATGAAGAGTGCATTGAATTCGGTGATATTACATTATAAGAAACAATTGTGTCTTCTTCCAATGTGGTAATAAAGAGGAAACAAAAATATCTGTGCATGAGGAACATTAACTGCAATATTTGAATTGTTGAATCGTTGAAGGAAAAATGGCATGCCCAGAAATAATTTTTGTAAGTTTTTACAGATGTGCTTTGACATTTTATGAACAGATTTTATGACCATTTTAACATGCACATATCTGGATCCTATAGGAACTTTTTAAAAATGAAATTCAAACCAACCCATAGTGTCGGTAAATAAAGAAGTTGACAGTTTGTTTGAATTAATTAATTGCAATGGAAATTTTCAGAGATAGAGATGGAAAAACATTGCATACCTCCTCCAGAAACTGTATCTGCTCATACCTCAACCACCTCCAGAAACTGTATCTGCTCATACCTCAACCATTGTTGAATTCCGTCCCATACACATTTGTAGCTCAGATACTGATGGTAGCTAACATAGAAAAAGTAATGTTGTTCACACAATTAGATGTGAGAAGTTGGCATAAAGTAGTCCCACACAGGACAACAGTGCAGATTAATGTCTTCAGTTTATGTCATTTGTGAATAGTTTTTGCAATTGTTCTTTGGGATCAAGCAAGGTATTCCATATATTTTGAAACATAGATAAGCATAGGTTGCATTCCCTCAGAAACATTCTTCATCTTCTTGGTGAAGAGCCAATTAATTCAACTACTTCCTTAGAGAAAGTTTCGAAAATTAAACTGCCCGTAGTGCTACAGATTGCGTTTACTGATGAGATGTTTTCATGAACAAAAGACTCTTACCAACCAGCTAATTTTTTTTTAAGCTATAGTGAGATTGTGCTCCTAAATGTTTCACTACATACTATTTTTATTGGAAGGCAAAGATGACTCCAACTGAAGGGAGAAAATTGAAGTTGCTTCTGATAAATTATAGACAAACACACAGAGAGTTTAATTATGGTCAAGTGATTGACACCAAGAAAGCAAATTAATTTTGTAAGGACGATAAAGCTGCAAGCTAAATGAGATTATAGATCAACAACAGTAATTAAGCTTCACTGCAAAGCTTAGATGAGCTTAGAAGCAAAGGGCAGGAACTGTGATACGAACATAACTATGTCTAATTTACAAAACTGGAAGTGGGAAACAGTGAGAGGCAACAATATGGAGTGAAAAAATTGGACAGGCCTATGTTCAAAGATTCTGGCAACAACAAAACACTGAAAAAGTCAAGGACAAAAAAGAAAGCCAAGTATAAACGTACACATTAACTTATAAGCAAAAGCACAAATTTAGAAATACCAATAGCCAGTTGACTCCGCCCTCGTGCCCCATTGCATACAGATGATACTGCGGGGCGCAGACAGAGGGCGTGGCCACCATGACGCTGCTGGGCTGCCTGGGTGATCTGCTGTGGTGGGCTGTGGAAGTGGTGGGTAACTCTGAGGGTAGGAGAGATGGGGGCGGGGCAGGGGCGAAGTGGTTTTTGGGCACTAGGTCTCTAAAAGGTTCGCCATCACTGTTCTAGGCTAAAAATTTCACATGGAATTGATTTTAATGTCAATCATTCTTTCTATCATTGGATCAAATGCTTATTTGTTTGCCCAGTCAATTAAAAACTGATCGTTTTATATAATGCTGCCTTTTATTGCCATGTACTAGGATTTTTAAAATAATATTGTGTAAACTGCCCTGATGATGTAAGCCAAACAGAAGTAGAAACACATTTTTAATCAAAACAAAAGCAAAGGATCATCTGATTGTTTTTTAAACATGGGCACTGACGCCACCATATTTTAAAATTCTATCAGTATGGTGAATTTGGGCATTCATCCTCTCTTAGCCTAATGTTCCTCAAGGATCATTTAGCATCATTTCTTTTATGTAACTTTCCAGTCTAAAGTTCCTTTCTGCTATTTTTTTTCTTTAAATAATGCAATACGTAAGCATTTTCCCCATGATGATTTTAAAACAATAACATTTTTTTCTCATTTTAATTAAAAAGGAGCATGATATTCCCAAGTCTATATGTTTATCTTATATCTCAAGATTTGACTCCTAGACTATTTCAATATAGGATATTTAATTTAATATGCTATTAAATTGCTTGTAATATTCCCATTGACCATATTGTATATTTTGTTTTCCCTCCTGCATTAAGCAGAAAGAGCAAAATGAGATGGAAATGCTCTTTCGAACTGTTCCTGAAAGGAAAAGTATTTGCAGCCAACCACAATTTTAGATACACGAAAACACTGCCTGAATGAGACATATTCATTCATCAAATCTCTCGAGGATAAGATATAAAAGAGACTAGTGAGATACCCCATCTAATGATACGTGAAAACTATTTTGGGATCTCTGTTTATATTATATGGACAAACTGGGATATGTTATTCTGGAATACAATGGAAAAGCTTGTAAAGAAACACTGGAATTGATCTCAGTCTCTTCTTTAATACTGCCCACTATCCTAAGCCTTGTGGATGTAGTCCTTGACTTGTGACCACAAGGGGAACCAGAATTCCCCTTGCTAAGCAAGACGACTGTTACATGAGTTATGCCCGAGTTTACAACCTTTTTTTTTTTTGCTACAGTTGTTAAACAAATTACTGCAGTTGTTAAATGAATCACCGGGTCATTGCCAAGCACCAGGGAAATCAGGAGATCCAGGCAGTTCAAAGGAGTATAAAGATTTATTGCAAGCTTAAGCTGACTACAAGAATCTGAACTACTGTTGGTCCAAGCAAATTAGTGGTAGATAAGAATCAATGGAGATCAAGGTAGGCTGGACCTAAATCATTTGTGGGTGAAAAGGGATTCGAGACTGATGATGCATTTGACTCCCTCCCTCGGGATCAGTGTGGTCATCTCCTATAGTCATAGGAGTCTAGTTTTCCCCATTGACTTGCTTGTCAGAAGCCAGCTGGGAAGATTGCAAATGGCAGACACTTGAATCCAGGATGTTGCACTTTCATAAACACAGCTGGTTGCCAAGCACCTGAATATTGAACATGTGACTTTGGGGATGCTGGGATGGTCACAAGTCCAAAGACAGGTGGCAAAGTCACTTCTTTCAGTGCTGTTTTAATTTCAAATAGTCACTAAATAAGCGATTATTTGTAGCACTTTATACATATCGCCTAACTGTTGTAGTAATTGCCCTATTAAAAACAGTATTGTTATTACATGTGTTCTATGTTGTATGGAAGTGTGAGTTATTTTTTTAATAATCAGAAAAAGAAAAAAAAGGAAACACACCAAAATGCCTGAAATAGGCTGAAGAACAGCTTTACAGACGACAAGAAGTCAAAGATGCCCTCATACAGATTAGCATGCAATAGCACAGATGTGGCATTTACCAATTACTAGGTTCTGAAACAGATCAGACTTGCCTGGAACCATTAGGTTGTTGTCCTCTACCCTGCTCTCTCTTCTTCTAGGTGCCATAATGTTTGAGAAAGAATTTGCCCACTCTGGAAGTTTCCCACCTAGTGTGCACCTATTCATTACCATTCAGTTATTTGCACAAGAATAAATGCTTAGCTTTAAAACTACCTTAAGAACAAAGCTGCAGAACCTGATTGGACTTTCTTTTATTTCCATCCATCCTTCCTTGCCTTTCTCTCTTCCACTACCCACACCCACACCCAGTCTCTTGTGCATTCAAACACAAGGTAGAAACAACCCATCTTTGTATGTCTGAACGTTGCTAAACAATGCTGACCCTACATGTTCTTAGTATAGAATCTAAGATTTATGACGAAAATTCCTCTTTTCAAAAGGTCATTTAGTCATTTCCTTTCTGCATGCATACTCGAAGCATCATTTACATTTAACATTGATTTTGGCAATTTAATGAGAAAAAAGGGACAGGAATCATTTTTAAGTAAAGATCACCTTTTTATCAAGGCATTACTGGTAGTGACTATGCCAAAACTACTTTAAAATGGTAATCTGTTGACTACTTTCTCTGAGGTAATCCTCCTAGAGTTTTGGTTTCTAAAATCATCTTTACTGTGCTTTAAAGCTAAAGAATGACCACAGGAAATATAAATTGAGGAGAAAAATGATCACAGCTTCCTTACTGATATTCTTTCATTTATGAACTCATGTATCAAATGTCTTTTACAAACTGGCGCAGATGACAAGATTAGCTTAAATCAGCTTTTGCTAAACTGGAACCCCAGAAATGACAAGATTAGTAATTGTAAAGCATAACTGGTTGAGAAACTTTAACGAATAAGACAAAAACTAAGCGAATCAGAAAACTTTTAAGCGTAGTCATTCCAATTCAACTTGATATGTTAAAAAGTGTTCAGTTCCACGTAAATTATGTGAAGGAATTGATTTTCCTTGCAACTTCTGCGGGCTGACTCTTGCCACTTACACCAACCCAGGCATGGGCAAACACCCTGGAAAGTAACAGAACAAACAGAACAGACACATCTTGAATTCCACTGTAGAGTGGAATTACTTGCACACATACTGCCCTAGAAATAACCCTGAGTATAATAAAGTGGATAGGAAAATAATTCACTTTAAATCAGTGCAGTTATTTCTGCTAGTGCCAGGAAATATGTTCCCAATTGTGTTAAGTTTCTCTGCCTTTCAAATACAACGTGGCAAAGTGCAAATGACTTCTCAAGGCCCTGAGGACCCAGATGAAGGAGAAGCAAAGAGCAAGCAGCAGCCTACCTTGGGGGACAAGGTTCCAGGTTACAAGATCTCAGCAACTGCGGGGGGCGCCGACTGCTCACACATAGATTTTCATCTGCAAATTCTCTGGTCTGTTTATTCAGGCAAGTCACTACAGCCTCTTGGACACCTGTACACACAAACCAAATTAAATCAAATTAATGTTTAAAATCCTGCAGGCTGCATTCCAAGTACAGAGTCAGCAAAGAGAACTGCAGACATGATACTAACAAGAGATCCTTTGGAGTAGCCAGCTTGGGGGCTTGGTGCCTCTAGGAAAGCAATCTGATACTCTCTACTGTCAACAGGGCAGCATCACACATGGCTGCTACCCACTGAGGAGCACAGTGACTCAGGAGTGGAAACGTAGCGCCCCATGGCAGGTACATGATGGGTCTTCTAGACAATTGAAAAACATCTTCCTTATTTTTTATTGATTGGATGCAGTAGCTGGTTTATTTATTTATTTTTAGGAAGAAATAGAATGACGCAACCCTATTGCCTTTCAGCTAAAGGAAATGCACATTTAACGTTTATTGTTCTAAAGTGAAATCCAGCACCAAATTAAAACCACCCTATTAGATAACAGCACATACTGTATATCACTATAATTGAGTGTTCTGGGTCTACAGAAGTGGAATAAAGGTTTAAAAGTCCCAAATAGCCTTCTGTAAAACTAGGTAGACCTTGGTCACCCACTGATTACATTATTAATGGTAATATATTGCTATGTCTTCTTGTGTTGGGTCTGTTTAGTTTTGTTTTATTTGAATGTTTAATTTATGTGTTGGCCTTCGGCTGTAATAATAAATTGATAAAGTAGCTTAAAAAATGAATAAGAAAAAAAACTGTTCAATGTCCTCTCATTTTAACAAACAGCAATCTATTCTGAATAAGGAATAATTGAGATTATACCCTCAAAACACTGCATATATTCTGCATTCTGTGAGGTAAAACTGTTTTTTGCTTTGCTTTGATTGCAAGTTTGATTTACTTGCACAAAACAGGGCCAGACTAGAAATGTTATCCTCATTTTGTTCTCAGCAAACAAGATTCTATGGAACATGTAAAGCCTGTCTTCTAAAGTTCTAAAGTGAAATCCAGCACTAAATTAAAACCACCCTATTAGATAGCAGCACATACTGTATATCACTATAATTGAATGTTCTGGGTCTACAGAAGTGGAACAAAGGTTTAGAAGTCCCAAATAGCCAACAAAAAGAAAGCACAGGTTTATTGGGTTTTAGTGATTTCAATGGGATTGAAATGGCTTGAGGATCTTATTCCAGCTAGAGCTATGAATATATTTGTAAAATGGCACAGACAATCAGATAACCCTTAAGGTTTTGGTTCAATTTGTCTCCAAAAATTACAGATAATTTTTCAAAGCTCGAGCTAAAAAAGCATTGGAGAGAGAGAGAGAGAGAGAGAGAGAGAGAGAGAGAGAGAGGGAGAGAGAGAGAGAGAGATGTGAGATTTTTTAAAGGAAATCTGTTTTCTTTTTGCTCCCCAGAAGTCTTCAGAAACTTCATGCAGGCTCTACTGTCTGCAGGGAAGGAATCCATAACGACAAGGGCATCCTGATGCAAAATATATAACTTAAATTCTTGCATCGGACATAATTGTGCCATTTGCATGATGGCATCATGACACATGTGCCATCCATCAGCTATGGATCTATTCTCACAGAGTGATGAGGGTTTTTAATTACATAGGATTAGTCCTTCCCTTTCCAGCAACATTTCTATATGAAAAAGCCATTCATCTCTTTGTGTTTAAGAAAACGTGCTTGCCACCAAAGGATGTAGTCCTAGGCTGCATTAACAGAGGGACAGAATGAAGATCACGCAAAGTGTTAACACCACTTTATAATGCCTTGGTAAGACCAAACTTGGAATATTGCATCCAGTTTTGATTGCCACGATATGAAAAAGATGTTAAGGGTCTAGAAAAAGTGCAGAGAAGAGTAGCAAAGTTGACTAGGGGATTGGAAACTAAAATATATGAGGAATGGTTGCAGGAATTGTGTATGTCTAGTTTAATGCAAAGAAGAACTAGCAGTGTTCCAATATCTCAGGGGCTGCCACAAAGAAGAAGGGGTCCACCTATTCTCCAAACACTTGAAGACAGGACAAGAAGTAATGGATGAAAACTAATCAAGGAGAGAAGCAATCTAGAACTAGGGAGAAATTTCCTGACAGTGAGAACAATTAATCAGTGGAACGCCCTGCCTCCAGAAGTTGTGAGTGCTCCAACACTGGAGGTTTTTAAGAAGAGATTGGACAATCATTTGTCTGAAATGGTATAGCGCAGTGATGGCGAACCTTTTAGAGACCGAGTGCCCAAACTGCAACCCAAAACCCATTTATGTATCATCCAGTGCCAGATGAGCGTCGCCCATGGGTGAGTGTGGCCCATTGGATGGGTGTGGCTACGGTGGTAACAGCAGACTGGGTGGGACTGAAAAGTTCAATCAATCAATTCCAACTTTGTGAGATCTTTTTTTTCCCACGAGAAGTTGAAATTGATTGATGGATTGAACTTATTTTTTTTGCACACGGCGGCAGAGGCCTAAAGCGAAAAGGTTTTATAAAACCCAGCTGAAGGCCTAGGACTGGGGTGACGGTGCATGTGCCCACAGAGAGAGCTCTGCGTGCCACCTGTGGCACGCCTGCCATAGGTTCGCCATCATGGGTATAGGGTCTTCTGCTTGAGTGGGGGGGGGGTTGGGCTAGAAGACCCCAAGGTCCCTTCCAAATCTGTTGTTCTGTTATTCTGAAACTTTTATTAAACAGAATGCATGCAAAGTAGAAAGGAATGCCCTACAGAAATCATAAGACGTCCTTTTCTTGTTATAACCCTTTATGTAGAAACAAATTATACATGTTTCCAGCATTTGTGTCTCTGAAGACCTCCTTAAAAATCTAGTATCAATGAGCAATATAATTTCAGAACTGAAAAGAAAGATTGGTAATTCTGTCTCCTACACCCTCTATGATCTTCCAGCACACTTTGAACATTTCTATACTTTGAGATAAAACAGTTTATTAGACGCCAGAGTACTGTATCCTCTAAACATTTCTTGACAGGCTTCAAGTAAAACCTGCAATCCCCAACGTTAGGGCTTATTAATTAAAGGAAGCTAAAATATGCAAACTCACTGCTGCCCACCAGTATTTTCATTATTGTTTTTAATGCTGGAATAAACAGCCTGCCCAGGCCTCCGAAACTAGATGCTACACATTCCTTTTTCTCTGACACAATGTATAGGAATGGCCTTTGCAGTCTGGACACTCTGTTCAAAGGTCATCTGATTGTAATTTCAAGGTTTACTTGAATGGTGATGTTTAGCTTGGGTTATGTTTAGCTTGGGTTAAATCTTTGGCATCACCTCTACTGCTAGAGATAAAAAACAGCTAGAAGAAGAAGAAGCTGCACAATACTTCAATTCATTGAAGCATCAAAATCTTTTGAAGATGACAGAATGTTTATAAAACTAACAAGCAGGCTTGAAACAACTATGCTGAATGAGAAAAAATAACACGCTCATCTACACAAAATATACAACACAGTGACTTATTTTTTAAGCCAAAGTTTAAAACAAACATGCCTTTTTGTTGTGACAGGTCAAAGCATTATTCCTCAAAATAACATCGTATTTTAGCAAATAAGAGAAAATTCTCAGAGCTGTTAAACCCGACTTATTTTGCTTGATAACATGCTAGCCTGATTTTGCAGTACCCCTACAAAGGCATAGCATGCTATAAGCATTTGCTCATGATTTAAATTCTTGGCTCAAAAATACATAGACATGACATAAAATTCAGGCAAATTAGTATTTTGGGCTACAATGCACACAAAAATTCATATTGTGTAGAAAACATACAATACAAATGGGATTTCATTGGAGTTTTATTACTGACAGATGTCAAAACAGGATAGAAGACGCTTATGAATTAATAAACAGAAAGTTGCCATGAACAGAAAAAGGTCTAATTCATAAACTGTAGTTTTTTTTCAGCTCCTATTGGTGAGGGTTTATGTGTGTGCACCCACCATGAAAAAAGACTTCTTCGTATAAGTAACAGGAACAACAGTAAACTAAAGCTCACTAAAATACAGGTTCACACTTAAAATAGTCAACTATGAACACTGCAACCACATGTTTGCAAGTGTGTAATGTATGGAAACACTAGTCAGAGCATTGGAATTGTTTCCTGTTCTTTGTCATATTTGCATTTTTGGCAAATGGATACTGCATAATATTCACATGCTTCTCATTATTACAGAAAAGGGCTATATATAGTATTTCATAGCAAGGAAGAATGCTTGGTGGAATGCTCTTTTCCTTGAACTAAAAAAATAGTATTTAACTTTATGAGTTAAAGAATGTAAATTCATACAATTTAATGTAGCAATTACTTATGTTGTATTAGTATAAACTTAATATAATTAAAACATAAATCTGTAATATATAATAAAGAAGCCAAATATTCTTTCCCAATCAAGTTATTTAATTAGGCCCAGCTTTAATTATGGGACAAGGGTAGCTCTTTTACTTGAATTAAACAATATTATTTAACTTTATGATTTGCTCTAAACTTTGGTTTGTTCTTTTTCCTTCTTTATTCTTCCTCCTTTTGTATTGTATCTTATATAGACTGTAAATTTGCAAATAAAGACTGTTCTGCTTTCACTGGTTATATGTAGGCTTCTGTGGAAAACTTTCTGCCTGAAGAATAGGATGAAAAAATGGTTTAAAGTTAATGCAATATAATAAATAATGAGAAAAAGCTGCTCAGAATTGGGAGCAAAAAATAATAATCAAACATTACAATTTGAGTATTTGAGTCAAGTTTAAAAAAAAAACATCAATAAGTTTAACATAGAAGCTGAGTCTACTTTCCCTTGAAAAAATCTCTCTTTATAACTGGAAAATTAAAATGCTACTTGGTGCAAGAGGAGGACATGATATAAATCTAAGTAGTTTTTAATTCACTTTCAATATACCATCAAATAAAATTTGCAATGTTTATATCTATTAGCAGAGCATAATTGTTACATGATACTTGATGACAGTGGTAGAAGACGTAGCCACTGAATATAGACTAAATTACTAATTAGTTCCTTCTGGCTGCTATTCCTTTGAGGGCAAAAACCTACTTCTCTGTCTATTACATTTCATCTATGGAGAGTAGAAAAAATACAATTAACTTATCTGTCATGTAAGATTATTTTAAATGTATTTATTTCATTTTAATTGTGTGAACAGAAAGTTTTTCTTCAAACATGCTGGAAGGCAGCTGTTTTGCCAACAACTGTTAAAATACTGAGTTGAACACATGGAGTGTGATAAACAAACATGAGATAAGATAATAAATACATAGCCCCAAAGTCCAGTGACAGTACTTTATTTTTACTCAGTACCACCAGAGTATCTCTGTTATAATTAGGTCTTAGATTAACTGTTCAGTATTTGCATAATCAGTATTGACAGCTGATTATGAAGATTGCAACTAGGGATTTCACAATATTATATGATACTAGCAATAGCGATGTATGAGAAATAGTATCCTTTCTAACTTCTCTCAGTACATTTAACTGATGAGATGGTTGACCCCACTGACAATCAAACAAGTTGTTCTTTTATCATTATAAAACTTTCTGCTTTTAAAATGTGTTATGGTTCTATAGAGACTTCATCTCTAAGTTTCCTAATTAATCTACCTCCTCACGCTCTCACACCACAATCTCTGTCTTTGTTTTCTTTTCATTTATTTATGAATGCTTCATTTAGCAGGAGGACACATGCATGAGTAAGGGATTCATGAACGTAAAACTTCAAACTGAGGTGATTGCAAAAATGGATGTTCCCAATCATATTTTCACAAGAGAATCAACTAAGGCAGTGGTTCTCAACCTGTGGGTCGGGACCCCATTTGGGGTCGAACGACCATTTCATGGGGGTCGCCAAACAAGGCTGTCCGCCATTTTCCCCCCTTTTCTTTGGCCACGCCCCTGGCACCCGGTGATGTATAAGTGGTTGGGGGTCACCACAACATGGGGAACTGTATTATGGGGTCGCGGCATTAGAAAGGTTAAGAACCACTGAACTAAGGCATGATTTTGCTCAAAGCTATGCTGCATGCTAGCTAAATGTACTTAGAGGTACTCCTCTACTTACCACAGTTCATTTAGTGACTGTTCAGAATTACAATGGCACTGAAAATAGTGACCTATAACCATTTTTCACACTTATGACCGTTGCAGAATTCCCATGGTCATGTGATTTACATTCGGCTGTTTGACAATTGATTCACATTTTATGATGGCTGCAGTGTCCCGGGTCACGTGATCCCCTTTTGCGACTTTCTGACAAGCAAAGTCAAGGGGAAGCCAGATTCACTTAACAAATGTGTGACTAATTTGTGTGACCATAGTCAAGGGGAAGCCAGATTGACTTAATGAATGTGGTAAGAAAAGTCGTAAAAGGGGGCAAAACTCACTTAACAAATTTCTCACTTAGCAACATAAGTTCTGGGCTCAGTTGTGATCATAAGTTGAGGACTATCTGTACTTGGAAGCTGCAAGAATATCAGGAGGTTTTCTGAACTTACTTCTTTTAGGAAAAGGCAGGGAGATAACTGGCCAGTAATGCAATAAAATAAATTGTTTACCATACCTTATTTCAATATTTCTTTTGATTTGGACTTGACATTGAGTTTGAGGGTCATAAGGCAGTGATAGACCTACAATTATTTGTTTAGTAACGGTTCAAAATTACAACGGAACTGAAAAAAAGTGACTTACAACCGGTTTTCACAGTTAAGGTCATCGCAGCATCCCGCATAGGTCATGTGAACCAAATCCGAAGGCTTGGCAACTGGCATGTATTTGTGACAGTTGCAGCATCCCAGTGTCATGTGGGCAACCTTCCCAGCCAACGTCCGACAAACAAAGTCAATGGGAGAAGCTGGATTTGCTTAAAGAACGCACGGTTCATTTAACAACTAGTGATTCACTTAACTGTGGCAAAAACAGTTGTAAAATGAAATGGAACACTTAACAACTGTCTTATTTAGCCCACATAAATTCTGATCTCAATTGTGGGTCGTAAGTTGGGAGCTACCAGTGATAGGTAAGCTGCCCTGGATGCACAGAACTGTCACCTGTTCTGTGGTTCTGTCAGGCTGTAAGTCCAGTTGCTACTGTGATATACTGAAGATTAAAGCTTTTATGCCACTTTAAGAAGCTGTCTTCTTAACTGTATCTCAGAACAAAGTAGAAAAGAAAGGTCGCATCTTACTGTGGGTGGGAAATGGGATGAACTGTGTGAAAAAGTTCCCTCTGTAAGATCTTCCTATTATTCAGAATGTATTTGTACCTTTTGAAATCCTGCAACCTTTTACGTAAACACAATTTTTGTATGGTAAATCTCAGCTTCCAACAAGGAAAAGAAGACAAGCATTTTAGAGAAATTAAGGAAGTTAAGGATTAGAATCGTTAGTAGCTCTCCATAAACAATTATACCAAAATAATGGAATTTGGATTGGACACAATGTATATCAAACAACTCTCATAACAGGCATTAATGGTGACACTCCCTGACTTTTCCTTTAAGTGCCAAATTTATTAGCTCCAGGCAGTGGTTTTGTTAGCTATTTCTGTCATATGTTTTCTCTCTCCCTTTTAAATCCAAGCTAATGTCATTTGGTAGGATAAGCTATCAAAACCAGCTGAGTCGCCAACAGATTCAGGAAAAAGAAATACATACGCAAGAGCCCGGTGCTCAAGATCCATATGTCTCTGCTTACGAGGCAGACGTCAGGCAAATGTAAAGTAAATGACACCCGATGCTTCCTGTCTTAGCCTTTCTCTCTAAAAACATGATTCTCTGCCCCAAATGTAAGTGGTCAGCAGGAAATGTAAACAAGCCGGCTACTACATTAGTCATATGAAAGACCCCAGCTGTGAATTTTGATACCTTCTCAATTCAAAATGGTTTTACATCTGGACCTCATTTCCAACGGTTCTTCTACAGAGTCACCTTTTCTGCTTTAACAAGAAGACTGAAGGCTGTGCTGCAGAAACTTTGCATGGTGGCTGTAATCTGTGAAAAAGTGCATAGGCCATGGAGAACCCCAAGGAATTTCCATCCTTTGGCCAGTTGCCTCAACAACCTGTGGTGACCCTAAATGGAACATCACCATAAAGAGGTAGCCTTAGTTTTCTACCTGAAAACCAAAACATGAACATTTCCTGCAGGCTGTATCATAGTTTTTTCTGTGACATAAGAGAGATACACAGGGAAACTCTATGAGCAAAACCCAAGCTAATAGCAAGCAACAAAGGAGAAATAGAAGCATTATCAGTACTTTAAATACAGGTAGTCCTCGACTTACGGAACATTTGTTGAGTAACTGAAATTACAATGGCACCAAAGAAAGTAACGTTATCACTGTTTTTCACACTTACGACTGTTGGAGCATCCATATGGTCATGTGATTAAAATTCTGGCACTTGGCAACATATTTATGACAGTTTCAGTGTACTGGAGTCATGTGATTGCCTTTTGCGACCTTCTGACAAGCCAGGTCAATGGGGAAGCCAGATTCACTTAACAACTGTGTTACTCACTTAACAATTGCAGTGATTCATTTAACAACTGTGACAAGAAAGGTCATAAAATGGGGCAAAATGAATTTAACAACTGTCTCGCTTAGCAACAGAAAATCTTTTTTTTTAAATACCATTACCATTAACCTAAAATTTTATTTTTGATCGAATCTTCACATTTCGGTGAGTAGAAAGTATCTAGATTGGATTTAAGGAATTAGTATGAGGTTAATTTATAACACATCCTATATGCTAGATCAGTGGTTCTCAACCTTTCTAATGCCGCGACCCCATGTTGTGTTGACCCCCAACCACTTATACATCACCGGGTGCCAGGGGCGTGGCCAAAGAAAAGGGGAAAAAATGGCGGACAGCCTTGTTTGGCGACCCCCGTGAAATGGTCGTTCGACCCCAAATGGGGTCCCGACCCACAGGTTGAGAACCACTGTGCTAGATGTTAACTGAGGTTGGACTAGAAGGTCCCTTCCAACTCTGCTGAACTGTTATTCTATTATTCTGTCAAATATTTTGAAATCTCAAGCTTCTGACTTTGAGATGGATCCTGGCTACATTAGCTGGATCAGGCAGACATGACTGATTTCAATGAAGTCTAAATGTAAAAAAAAATATAGTCTGGATTCAAGTACATTACTTCCACAGTCCAGTATGTAGGAAACAAGGAAATGAGAGAAACTGCAAATTGAACTCACCTCCACCGCAAGCCTCAGAACATTCAGTGAAGCCTTCGTATTCCCAGTCGTAAAGTTCATCAAAATCTTGTGAGCCCCTAAAGAGCAGGTCAGCCTCTTCACCAGTTTCTCCACTGCATGGACCACCGTAACAAGCTCGTTCAGACACTGGTTTGGGCCCTTCACATTCATCAACGGGCAAATCTGCCACAGACTGAGAGAAGGACAGCAGCACCTGGCACTTCACCAACCGCACCTGGACGCCCGCCCCACAGGTCACACTGCAGGCAGACCAGTCCTCAGGAATAAACCTGTGGTAGTGAGCATAGAAAGGTGCCATAAGGATAGCTGCCCACACCAAATGAGTCCAGCTGGGATGCATTAATACTTACCGTTTTTTATAGCTAAATAATCTTGGATGGAGATAAGGCTCACATTTTAAAATGCTTGTGTGATAAGCACAATTTTGGAATGTTTATCTCAAATAGCTAACTTACTATATTTACCTCATCTTCCTATAAATGTCACCAAGACTACATACAACGTAAGTAACAAAACACATAGAAACGACCCAATAAATTAAAAAAATTAAAATATTAAACAAGTGTAAAACAGTGTTGAAAGTCTACTGCTAACACGATTTTAAAGGTTTAGTTCTTAACTTTGAGAACACTGGCCCAAATTTCCGGCTAAAAAGCTAAAGATCTTTCTGTTTATGGTTTCATTCTATGTGCAAATACTTTAAATGAAAATCTTTACCTTTTAATAAATGATGATACTATAAAAGTGTGCTTGATACTTTAGTAATTCCAGCTCCCATTCTATATATTTACTAACATATTGATAACATGTATGGACCACTTGGTCTCAATTTCCAGCAGGGAAAAATGGGAGAGATGGTCTTAACGAAAGGGTAGTTTCATAATTCTGTGCTGCCGTGATTGCTCTTGGAAATGTTACACCATACAGGCCAAGCAGGTCACTGATATAGGAAAAGGTACAGATAGGAAGTCCTTACCAGCCGAAACAAAGGGTCATGTGATAAGCCACATGGCTAGTTTGGCACTCATTGTTTTTAATACTCGTTGCACCTCCCAGAACCAATTAATATTGAGTACTAAGGTACCACTGTATTCAATCATCATGTAGAACAAAACTGAACTCTGTACATCTATTTCATGTTAAAAGCAAATGAAATCCCTAAAATTTATTTATGTATTTATTAGTTTTCAATTTTGTTCCATGCTGATTTCAAAGAGTTTATGTTAAATTTTGGAACCTAAAAGTATTAGGGCCAAAAAAGGATATGCTTTCAGCATTATTGTGAGAATGCAAATGTACCACCTCTCTGACACTCTTTGAAGTAATTGTGGCTTTTTCCAGAACTGACAGATAGTTAATGCTTGAAAAAGTGGCAGAATGGTGCTATATTCACGAACATACACAATGCACTTTGAAATACCCTTTGAGAATTAAATCCACAAGGCTGCATAGCCATTTTCTATTGTAGTACATGAACATTCAAGCCCAACAATTAAGCATATAATGTTTTTGGAGAAATTAAATGAAAAGCAAACTGCTCCGTTTTCTTCTATGGATTGAAGGTCACTTTAGACTGCATTTTAATGTAGTTTTAAAGAATATATAGTTTTGGTGTTAGAGCAAGACTGCATAATCTAAGGCATGGGTGTCAAACTCGCCACGTCACATGACGTATCGTGACTTTTTTTGCATTGCCGGAGCTGGGGTGGGCATGGCCTCCATATGATTCAACCAGCCCACAGGCTGGCAGTTTGACACTCCTGGTCTAAGGCCTCTTTTTTTTTTTGAAATATTAAGTTTTGTTCAATTATTTTTTCAGAAAGAAATGACATTTTTTAAACTTAAAAAAATCAATGTGCTTCACATTCCAATTCCATGATGGAACATATGGCTCCTCATAGAAAAATCACCTCATGAATAAATAAATATTATAATAGCCTCTGCTTTTTAAATAGATACTGTGAGAATAACTATCTTAGATTGTAGGGAAAATAGCATTAACTTTTAAATTCTCTACAACAGACTGTAGGAGATGTTTAAAATTATGAGAAAATGATGACAAGGAGAATGGAGGTCAAAAGAAACATTATATATAATTTGATGAAAATTTTTCCCTTGATTGTTTTAATGGACAAGAGATAACAACCATTACGATCCTCAAACTTCACTTGGAAGACCCAGTCATGAATATCTACAGCTAATAGTCTTAAAGAGCAATTTATAAACTGATGAGTCCATGCTTAAATGTATCAAATAATACCTATTTATATAATTTAATGCTATCTCTAAAGCAAGAATGCTCAGGGTTTTGGATGAGCGAGCTATGTTGCTTTGTTGTTTTTGTTTTTTTAAAAAACAAGTTAATGCAAAAGCAAAATGAAATTTAAATAAGCATTTGTGATTATTACATTGGTTGGAAATACTCTTTTTGCTGTTCCTAAACTATACTAAATACTTTCCATGCAGTAACTAAAAGTCAGAAGAACCTGGTAAAAAAAATACATTATGCTATCAGACTTCTGATTTTTTTTTGTCACCATAGAGTTTTTTCACAATCCTAATACAACTCTTTTCCTATAATGTCCACATAACAGCTAAGGTATCTTGCATCCAGATATAATATTCTGAATCTCCTTGCCCTTACTAGGGTTGTAAGAAAGCAGACAAAATCCATAATCTATTTTTTCCCCCAAATACCACACAAATAGATTATTTCCTTGAGTTACAATACAGGAGAATATATACAATCCAGAGTCCAGATGCGTGGAATTCAAATCAATCATCTAGCCAAGGAATTCTGTGAGTTGAGGTTCACACATCTAAAAGTTGCTACAGTTGCGAAACATTGGTCTACGGAAATGACAACTGGATTTCGAAGAAAAAAGTAATGCAAGGGTATTTATGATTTTTAACACCGATGTTGTAGAAGATTCTTGAGAACCCCATAGGCAGCCAAGAAATAAAACATACAAACCACTGAACAGATCAACCCACAGTTCTCACTGGAGGAACAAGTGAGCAAGCTCAAATAGGAATATCAGGTTAAAATTATCTCACCCTAGGTCAAATCTACCTACTAATCATTTGATGATACACAATCTACCAAGAAAAATTATTTTCTCAAGCTAAGCTGCAGGGTATTATTTTGAGCAGGATCAGAATGCCTAACTTCATCATAGGTCAGAGTAACTTCTGTTCATTGTTCTCAAAATACCTCAACATGTGTGGATTAAACACATGAGCGAGCCTACAGGTCATCATCTTAATCTGCTCAGACAAGTCTAACTTCACTATAAGAAACATTGACTTCTGTTCACTTCCCAGAATACACCAGGGATATGTAAATGACCAGTTTGCCCACATTCAGCATTGGCCATAAGACTTTGCCCATTGCACTTGAGATGAAGAGCAGTAGGCTAGCTTAAGGAGATCAAGGAGGTAGAGATTTTACTACTAACACACAAAAAATGGATGAGGAAGCTCTGACGATGATCAACAAGGGCGGTATTTTCACTCTGCGTAATAAGATATCTGGCACTACTGAGATGAAAATACTTCATACCCAGACAACTATTTAATTTATTTTTATTTTTTAATCCTACTTTTATTAATTTTATAAATAACTCAAGGCAGTGAATATGCTTAATACTCCCTCCTATTTTCTCCACAATAGCAGCCCTGTGAGGTGAAATGAATTGGGCTGAGAGAGTGCGGCTGGCCCAAAGTCATCCTGCTGGCTTTCATGCCTGAGGTGGCACTAGAATTCACAGTCACTTACTATCTTCTGAATTCTTTTGGTAGAAAAGGTCAAGGAAGCTTGTTAAAAAAAATATCTGGCTGTAACATTTGATCTGATGTAACGTCTGATGTAACATTTAATGATGTTTTCTGCTGATTCTAGGTCTTTTTTGCATGTTATTCCCTTGTCAATTTGATTCAAAGAGATGCATGGCAGAATTTTATTGCCTTATTGAATCAGTTCCATCACTTGGCTAATGCCATCTGGTATGCAGATACTACTGTTGGTTTCCTCCACTTTTTAAAATTTTATTTTTGCAGCTCTCACTCCATTAATGATGGCGAAATATTAAAAGTTAAATATGTTAGCCTACAAAATCTTTTAAAAAAAAATTGAAAATGAAACCTTTAAAACTTTTCCTCCAGAACTCTCTAACTCAGGGGTAGGCAAACTTGGCTCTTTTATGACTCGTGGACTTCAACTCCCAGAATTCCTGAGTTGAAGTCCATGAGTCATAAAAGAGCCAAGATTGCCTACCCCTGCTCTAACCAAACAAAAATCTGACAAAAACCGTTCCAGTTTAAATGGCTGTAGTTCAAACTTCAGAAAAGCTGTTAAATTCGCCCGGTTGCTTGCACCCGTCCAATTCAATCAAGAAGTTTGGACATGTAACAAGGAATGTCATGATTCTCCCTTCAGAGATTAGGATGATCCTGACCCTGTTGGCCTTTGATAAGATTGTAAAAACCTGGCTATGTGCCTGGGCCAGTGGTCCCAAGTGTGCAATATATTTTTTTTTATCAGCAACCATATATATTTATTTGGTATTTTTTATTGTTTTATGTTTTTATGCTGTACACTGCCCAGAGTCTCTTGAGATGGGAGGCTATAGACATCTAATAAATAAATCAAAACAAAAATAAATTAGCTTCCCAAATGCATTGGAACTTAAGGAGAAATACACTTACAAATCCTCTTGTTTACATTCATTTACTTATATCCCGCCTTAGTTTTTAGAAATAACTCAAGGCAGCAAACTTACCTAATACTCCTTCCCCCTCTTATTTTCCCAGGACACTGTGAAGTAAATGTGGGCTGAGAGATTGACTGGCACAAGCCCACCAATCTGGTTTTCATGCTTAAACTCGAAGTCTCCCACCTGGCGCCTTAACCACTGCACCAAACTGGCTCTCCCACGCATTACTATTTTTCAAGGATTAACATGATAAAAAAAAGCAGAAGTTGCTAGGATCCATCAGCGTGGTGATAAGCAGCATCAAGCTCCTTGCAAATAGACCCAATCTTTTTTCTTTATCTAGTCTTTACAAGAAGGGCAAAAATAAATCAAAAGGGCTGCTGTGAGTGTTTAATCAAAGCACTGGGGTGAGGAATGAGACCATGGAAAATCACCATGGAGAAGGGATCCAGAAATTTTTAGGACCACAGGTATAGAGGAACTGTGTGTTAAGCCTAGCAGGGGCAGAGAAGTATTCAAAAGAGAATTGTTGGTTCCTTCCCCCCTGCCAACTC